AGGAAATAGCCAACTCCGCAGATAAACCTCACTGCGAAGTGAAGTGCGGACGCCGGTCTAAGCACTTCGACCGGACTCCACAGATTCTGTGCTGCACTGGATTGGGCTAAGAGCCAATTTGGCGTAAATTTGCACACCAAGTGGTCGTCGACGCTGCATCCCTTGAGCAAAGTAAGTCACGCCAACCTGAATGGCAGGCACTGCTCTGCATGGCCACCAAAGAGGAGAATGGCCGCTGAAGATGTGTGTCGTGTCACTTGCTGTGTTTTTGCATGTGTGAACGAACAACGTAAATGCGGCATATGCAAAGGGAATTCAGTGTTTGTGGCAACGCCAAATTGCTCCGATAGCAAATACAGGTGATGCATATGTATAAGTGTACGTAGGTACATTAGGTTGGTCCAAAAATGCACGAGAAAAAGTAAAGTCGGATGTCTAATGCTGTCACCCTCTAAAAATCGAAAAACACATACCACTGTCCTTTTTATTTCGAAATCAAATAATATTTAGAGGTCGCTCAAAGCGTTCAAAGTTTTCCATACAAAATACATAGGGGGGAAAAAAGTTTGTTGTGGAAATGATATCGAATTCTTGAAGATCAATATTTTTCGATCAGAAAACTCTGTTTCTCTTCAAAAGACTTCAGGGAATAGTACCCAATCGTTTATTTTACCATATTTTAATACTAACGATGGGTCTCTTCATTACCTATTTTGGGGTTTCTGGGGAAACTATCAAATAGAGTTGATATTAAGCAATGGTCAAATATACAATTAGGTATTATTTCCTGGAAGTCTGTTAAAGCGAAACAGAGTTTTCCGATCGAAAAATATTGATTCTTGAAAAATAGTTTACTTCCCATATAAAATACATGGAAAACTTTAAGCGCTTTGAGCGACCTCTCAATTTTTTTTTTTTTAATATATATAGTAGTATGTGTAGTAGAGAACTATCCTAGGGGGTGAGAGCATAGAATTTCCGAATTTAATTTTTTTTTTCACCACCCTAATGCACCTGTGTGTACCTTGGCTGTGTGTGCGCTGAAAACAGCATTCGCTTCCACGAGGTGCTACCTTGTGGGGCGTATGGTTGGACCATTGGATGACACGGTGACAAGGTGACAAACTGAGGGCGCTTACCAACAGAGTGGAGGATCAATGCGTTGGTGAGTAGAGTATGCACTGACGTGGTTTCGTTTCATTTGGCGATTTGTGTCGCATCCGGTATGCGGTTTTCCACTTATATGCGAAAGTGCTGCAACGGAGCGTGAAAGCGGTGCGACAAAACTGTGGCGAATCCGTGGTGAAGTGAGAGTATGAAGAAGATGTAAGTACTCCATGTTGTTCGCGCAGTACACACGAGTTTACTTACACGTGCATTTGAACGTTTGTGCCCAGCGAACGGCCGCTAAATTGAAGTGTCGCTACAATTTGTAACAGGAAAAATAAAACAACAAATCAGATATTGGTTACCGATAAATGTAACACTTTCGTAATTGACTGTATTTCAATATCGGACAAGAACTTTGCTTTTACCTTACCATTTGCTGTAATTTACAATTTTTACTGAACTTTAATGTGTTGAATAAAATTTTGTAATACACATGCGCATGTATGTGCGAGGCCATATACTAAATATGTTGTAAATATACAACAAATAGCATGGAATTCAATATTGAACAGCTGTAGAAAGATATAAAATTATATTAATTAGAGTTTATGTATTACAAGTTTATGGGGCATTCCACGTCAAATCGAACTACACTTGGTCATAATTTTTTATGTTATAAATAGTTTTATAATTATGCTCCCGCTGTGGTGTAGTGGTTAGCAGTGCGCGCTTCCACTCCGCGAACAGCGGTCGTCCCTCGGCAGGCAATGGCAAACCTTCGAGTGTATTTGTGCCATGATAAACAGCTTCTCATAAAAATACAATCGCCGCTCGGCGTCGGCGTGAAACTGTACGTCCCTCCGCTTTGTGTGACAACATCAATGCGCACGCCACAAATAGGAGGAGAAGCCAAAAAGTAATATATGTGTAAGCGCCAATCTATTAGTAGGTATTATTAATTATGCTCCCTAATTGTTTGCATTTTGTTGTTTTTTGTCCAGCGATTTACGTTCTTTGAAAAAAAAAATTTACCTTTTTTAGATGCTCATAACTTTGCGAAAAATTTTGCATTGAACATGGTGAAATTATACTAGTTGTAGTAATGAGAGCGGACAGAAAGATTTGATACTATATTATTTGAAAATCTTCAAAGATTTCTATGAGATAGCCGAATGTCAAGAAAATTAAGGAAATAAAGCGAGAAAGCTGTTTTATTACTTCACCTGTTTATTATTTCACCATGCCATTTAAAAGCTTTATTTTTAAAACTTTTGTTTTTCAAAACGCTTTTGGTGATAGATATCCCGAAAACGGCTGGGCATAAAAGTTAAAAAAACCGGTACTAAATATGACATAAAAAGCCAAATGGTGTCCGATTTGGCGTGGAATGCCCCATATACGTAATTGCAACAGATATTACTATTATTTCAACAACTGCTTAAATAAATACGTAGTCTTACGTCTTTATTTATATTTTTATTTGTAAATCTCGTAATTTTTCTTAATAAATGTTTAGATTTTGTAAATGTATGTGCCTTGTGTGCAAGTAGTATTTTCGCATTATTCTGCGCATTTTGAAATCCTTAAGTTCTTATGCATATATTTGAGTGTAATTAAATTTTTCTTTAGATATTAAACTAATTTCTAAGTTGACTTCATTACACTGCACTAAATTTATTTAATAACTAGCTTTTGCCCGCAGCTACAACCGCGTGAAGTGCGGTAAGAGCAACGCCGTCTTCGTGCTAGTAAGAGCAGCGCCGTCTTCGGCTATGCTGAAGGCTTCATACCTTTCGTGAACATCTTAACATTTAAAAAAATGTATACATTCACAGCATACATAGATAGAGGAGTTACATATATAAAAAATCATATCTAAACAATCGGAGGTATGGAAGATATATCTTATATAGCACCAATCTAAGAGATTTTCGCTATTGTTGTTATGAACCTATGAACTCCGCTGCGAACCAACTCATACAGAATCCTTAGGAAGCTTCCGGTTCCGCGTACCTCCTAAAAGCCATTTGTGTGCACTAGCATTCCATCTGCTTCAGTCATGGGGGGGTTTCGGCTTTTCATGACCCTCAAAGGGACATTCAAAAGAACACGCGAGATAAAAAAATTTGCACACAAGTAAAATCTATCCAAAAGAAACCAGTGAACCGAAGCTCTCTCTATTCCTGCCTGCTAAATCTCATTTTAACTTAAACACCTACCAACCAAACGAATGCTTAACAGCCACTGAAGCGAGCAACGAAACGAGGCAGGCAGAAAGTTCGAGGAGTGACGTAGAATGTTCCTCAAAGAGAAACGTCAAGTTGGATGAACACAGCGAGAGAAAGAGAATGAGCGATAAACTTCAGAACGTTCGAGAGTTGCCATGAGTGCGAGCGCAGGTATATAAGAGCCACGACACAGCGGAGTTAAAAGTCAGCAAGCTACAAGTAAAGTGAGTTGCGAATAAGCAAGCTATTAGTCTGTTCCTTTGAACTTCGGACTAAAACCTGTGGAACTGTCAAACTACAATTTTACGCTCTCAAATGAGAGTAAAAGGAGAACAGATGCAGAAGTGCATAGGAACGCAAAAAGCACTATTTCCTGTAAAAACGTCAGACGGTTTGTTTACATGTCATTGGTACTACACTGATTTGGCTGAAATATCACTAAATAATTATTAAAATCTATACATATTCAAATATTTCGTTGTTTACTTCCATTTTTTAACAAATATAAGGTTCTTTGCTTTCACCGCTTTCTGTTTTTGTTTGCACATGTAAATCAGCTGATCGTTTGATACTTTTCATGAACTTACAGGAAAAAGAACTCCGGACTAAATCCTGTAACTTCTGACTAGGAACAGTTGCTCAGTTACTCTCTCAAAAGTGTTCCCACTTACAGGTTTTATGTCAATAGGAACGACTTCCTGTAAGTTCTGACTAAATCCTGTAAACCGGACTGCTATTGGAACAGACTATATAAGTTTAATTGTGTTAACAAGTTTTGTAAAGCGATGTAATTGCTTTAACGAGTATTGTAAAGTGTTTTTACGGTATTAGCAAGTATTGTAAATTGTTTGCTGTACAATAAAGTTCATTGTACTAATTTGGTCATCGTTAGCATTTATTTAACAATCCAGCGATACGAACCGTAGAATTTGGGAAATCCCTCAAGGTTTCAAAGATAATCGTAACAATATAATGTAAGCAGAGCAGAGTTTCAACAAGATGATGAGCGCAAAGTGATGGTTAACAAAGAAATATAGAAATCGATTGACGTGGTCCAAAGTTAGGCGGTAGCATACATAAAAAAAAAAAATATTCCGACGAATTGGTAACCTTCTCCTTTTTGTGAAATCGGTTAAAATTTCAATATTCAAAACGAGTCAATATGTGCGTGTCGCATAGTTATGATAAGCACTATACTTTAACTTATGCAAATTTATTTAACTCTTCAACAATTGCCAATTAAACTAATATTCTGTTTACCTATATATTTATCTTTCTTTATGCAAGCAAATTCCAATGCAAACCCGTTTCCAATTAAATTCAGTTTAAGTGAATCACAAAGGATGTTTATTTAATTGCAGTGTGCTCAAAATTCCACGATCTTATAACTAAAATTTTTATTCAATTTGTATGTATATACATATGTATATATGTAAATACTTAAAATATAATTATAATTAAACAGTGATATGCAATTTCACAAATCTTACTTGTGCTAATAAAAGTTGGAAAAATATTTATAAACTAAATAATAGTACATAAGTAGCAGATATATTTATGTATGTATTTATTGCTCCTTTTAATTCATCTTTAATTCTAATAAAATACTTCACTTGCCAGAAGTCTTTTTGTGTGTTATTTTTTTAATTATAATAAGTAAATTTCAATGTATTCTACGCATGCTCTTACACTAAATCTAGCATTTCAAATACTTTTATATATGTGTGTGTGTGTGTGTATATTAATTTTCGGTCTTTTGTTTTTAATTCTAAATATTTGTGTTGAGATAATTTTGTGTGTTGAGCTGAATTGCACCCTTAAATTTTCGTAATAGCAACACAGTTTAAATTTTCACTAAACTACCTTCTCTGTTAATGACCTACTAACTATAATATTAACTTCATTATGCTTTATTATTAATATAATTCAAAATGTTTTCTCTAAATGTAATACAGACGTTAAGTAATGCAATCATTTAGCGCATAATATTTCACAAATTCGTACCTTAATTTCTACCTACATAAGTATTGTATATTAATGCGCACTCACCTAAAATTCGTTGCTCTCAAAACATAAACAAATAAAATAATAATAAATACGAGTAAAAAATAATGATTTTGTAAATGATGGCTGCGTCGAAACAAATTGCAGCAAAGTAAGGTTTTTGTAATTTTATGTCTCCATACTCTTCATCTATCTGCTCCAATAATGTGATCCCAGCGAGGCTACAGCTATGCCTGAAATAATAATCGCAGGCGAACGACCAAATCGGGACTGATGCAGAGGCACACCATCATCACTGAGGCCATCGTGACACATTTCAGGATGTCGAGTGAAGTCCTCGCAGTAGAGCTGAAAGTTTTGAAAGGTATTGAGATGTTATTTCAAAGTCATACAAAGCGTAAAGTAAAATTTTTGGTTGTTAACAAAAGTGTTAGATATTTGTTTAGAGGACCCGAAAACGGAACAACATTTTAACAGCAATAACAAATATGACTATTATGATGCCGGCATACGGCAATGAGACACTTACTATATCCTTGTGAATACCTCAATTGTTAGGAGATAGATAACAGTATATTCATAACTAGAGCTCAGATATTTATGCAAGTGATTATTTTTGTTTAACGTAACAGAAAGTCCGGACCTGTTTGGACCTATTATGTTTTGTATATTTCACAAATATTTTGCATATGTTTGTATATATTTTGCATATCTTTGTATATATTTTGCATATTTCTTATAAATAAATTATTATAAGCACGTCTCTTTGCTGGCAGCTCTTGTTAACACCGTACGCGACATACTGACCTCCTTCTGCCTCAGTAGTGATGACCAGCTACGCCTGCATAGAACAAATCTAATTTATTTGTGGTATGTAGGCAAGTACAAGCGATGCTGTGAAAATCATTCGCAAGTTCGCCAACTAAAGCTAAACACCTTCTTTAAGTACAATAGGTAGGATGCCATTCGAACCGGGCGATTTGAGACAGTCGAGAGACTCAATATCATATCTTAGGGCATCTTCATTAGCCACATTTCTTGCAACAAACAACTTTTACCTTGTGGTTTGGGCCTTCTTCAGAATTTTTACCAGCCTAGCCGTTTGACTCAAGGTTTCAATCCCGCTGCAGCCCTCTTCACAGAGCGAATTATACTACGTTCCCACGGCACGTAATCAACTCTCCCATTCATAATTTTATCTCTCATTCGTAATTGGCACAACAGTGAAGTCTCTTCCCCTTGTGAGCGGTATTCTTTGCTCCACAGCTTTGAGCCAATCCCAGTTAGCTTGGGAGAGGTATTTCAGCACAATCGTTCCATCCCTCTCTTATGAACTAGCATTGACCACAGTGCCGGAGGCAATTAATTAATTAATTTCCGCGCAGTAGTCATCTGCCGAGTCTAACCCAGCCTCCTCATTACGGCAATGAGCAGATGGCCTTTTACGCGCTCACAATAAGTTGCCCGGTGCCCATACCTCCAGACGTAGTTGCTTCGAGGGAATAGCGAGGGCAGTTCTGCCTCGACCGACCCTTGCATTACGTCTACCCTTGGTTTGAGGCAAGCGTTTCGTGGCGCCAGAGGTCTGTCTGGATGATCGGAATTGGGCAATGCCACACCAGTACCGTGCCACACTATAACTCGAAGAGGCATTGGGACAGCCTTGGTGTCTGATTGGTGTCTGTCCCACAGGTTTCCTTCTCTTGCAACGTCCGCAAGCAGATTTGGATGTCGGTACATCCATCAAGGTCCCACTGACTTCTGGAGTAACCTCCGTAGACCTGGGCCGCTTATTGAATGCAGCGACAGAAGAGTTCGGTCAGCCACAGGAGAGGGTTTCCCCTGCTTTCGTTTCGTCTCTCGATACTTCCTCTTCCGGAATGTAGAAAGAGGACCAACTGCGTCATTGGAGGGTAGTTGACAGCGAACTGCTTCTCAATCTACATCCCCTCCAAGAGATTGCTCCTCTTCCGACGCTGAAGAAGAGAGGGTTGGCTGTTTGAAGATATGCGTTTAACAAAACTTGTTTAATTTTCTCTGAAATCTTAATAGAATGGACACTAGTGCAAACGACTTCGGTCTTGTTTCCTAGGTGTTATTTAAATTGTTGCATAAAGACCTTTTTTTAGCATATCTAACTATGTATTTTTTTACAATTTGTTTATATAGTTTGCATACATTTTGCTTATATTTTGCATATTCAATTTGCATAAAAGTCCCAGCTCTTTTCATAACTATACTCCAAATGTTTCAGCAGTGATGATCATAACTAATGTACTTAAAGTACCAGCTTGGGTACTAAATACCCAAATACTTAGTATTTGCAGAGATCTAAAAACTTAAGCAAAACGCGTAGGTACTATATTAATAAAAAAAAACGTAGGATTTGCTAAATATTAAATTTAAAAAAATACCTAAGTATTTAAAAGTTGCTAAATATTAAGCAAAAACTCTAAAGCATTTATCAAAGGCTAAATACTTTGATTTAAAGTACCTACGTACTTTAGAGAAACAATACTCTCGCACCAGAAACAAACTTTATTTCTGAAAATCCCGAAACAGTCGCAAAAATCCTGAAACTGTCCTGAACAGCGAGCGAGAAGTGGTCCCAAAGACCGAAATACTCCCGAAACCCCCTTAAGTGTTCCAAAGGCCCGAAATAGTCCCGAAAATCTCCAGGTGTACATAGTCCAGATAATCCCAGATAAACTCCCGAAATAGTCCAGAGAATCGTGAAATGCTGAAATGCCTGATATACATAGCTCCGGGTATATCGGAAATCCTCAAAATGCCGAAATAGCCCCAAAAATACCGAAATAGCTCCATGAATGCCAAAAATCCTAAAAATTTCGAAGTAGTCTCCAAAAACCCGCAGTAGACGCAAACATCTCAAATACTAGTTCCGAAAATCGCTACATTCTTTATTTTTATACTAACTAAATAGTAAGTATTTAGTATCAAGTTTTATGTGAAGCCAACATGTCTGAGTATGTTTTAATGCGTTATTTCGTTAGATTAAAATAACCAAATACTTTTATACTTAGTGCTGTCAAAATAATTCAATAAATAAACCTAAAGCACAATTAAAGTATGAACGTCCTATCAAAGACGGTATTAAGTAACATCCAAAAAACTATTTTGGTATTTACTGCAACAAAAATACTTAAAAACTTTTGTACTTAGTATTTAGTAAATAAAATTTTGGCCGGAAGCGTCATCGCCTGAAAAGCTTGGAGTGAAGTTCTAACTGAAGAATTATATACAGTGACTGAAGCAAGTGACCACGACTTGATTTTTTTTTAAATATTCGTAATGTTTTTTTAGCTAAATATTTTGTTATTTTTCTATCAAAATACCGTCCAAGCTTTAACCAAAACTATAAAAATCACAATTTCAAACTTTACTCAAAATATCAACTTTTTAATATGAAACTTTAGAACATTTTTGGGTATGCAGTTTTATAGCCCATGCAGTTTTAGTCTAATGATTTCTCTTTAGTTTGGTTTTGCTTTTTTTTATATATAACAAGTGCAATTTACAAAAACTGGCGTCGATTTTTTGAAATTTGGTTGCGAACGGTCTCCCGCATTTCATTTCATAAGAAATTCACCGTCACCAAAAAAAAAATCTCAAAAATCAACAGGATTTTTAGCCGTTTGCACTTTATTATTAAGATTTAAAAATGTAAAATTTGTTAAATTTTCTTAAAATGTTTATAAAGTGGGAAACTGTGATTTATATGGTTTTGGTTAAAGCTGGGACAATATCTTTATAGGAGAATAACAAAAAAAAAAAATTTACTCGAAAAACAATATGGGTATTTAAAATAATCAAATATGTGTACGTAATTTTTGTATTTTGACTGCTGAGTGGAAGATCGACCTATTCCGGCAGCCAGTTCGAAGACGGCCTATCTCAAAAAACTTTTCAAGAACGCCCTATCACAGAATTTGTTTGAAGAACGCCCTATTTCAGAATTCGTAGGGCGTTTTCGAACTGGCGGCCGAGATAGGTCGGTCTTCCACTCAGCAGTCGATTTGTAGAATCGATGCCAGCTTATGTGCCTTGACTTTCAGAAATATACAAATTTTTCATGGACACTTTGCAAGCAATACTTTTAAAACTAACTCACCTTAGTTAAGCTATTCGCATATTTATCAACCAGTTCGCGTGTGAATTTCGCTGCATCGGGACCACATATTTTACGCGCTGCATCCTCTGAACAATCAACTAACTCATTAATTGAACTGTAAATAAAACCGAAAAAAGAAGTTTTACATTTTTTTTTAGCAACTTAAATATGTACAACATATGAATGTATGTATACGACTATTTATAACTGTCCCCAACTCTTACGCACCAGCAGATTGTTTTTATATTTTCATTTAAAGTAATATTCTCGTGACTTTCTTGATTCTTATTCGGCTTCAGGAAAACCATTGTCTCCTTATAACGATTGGCGCACACCTCAAATTCTTTCTTGGCCATTTCCGAGCAGGGCGCATGTTTCAAATACTCTAAAAAATAGAAATTATAAAAAGAATTACTTTATATTTATGTATATGGGCATATTTTTAACTCACCATCCTGGAATTCCCCTTTAATACACAAGTCACGAATGAATTGATTTGTGCCATGGTATAACTTATTGAACTGGTTTCTTTGCTGTAGCGGCATACAGCGCCGCGTATAACTTTGGATGCAACGGACGCCTTTTTTTAGTTCACTAAAAAAATATATCAATAAACTTTAATTGTCTATAAATATAGTAAAAAAAAATATAAATGAATGTATGTAATTAATAAAAATAAATTAAAAATCTCATTTGGACAATGATTCAAGGCAGCGATATGGCCGAGGACCTAGCAAGAAAAGGGGCTGCTCTGGATATTTTTGTGGCAGAAAATGTTATGTTACCTCTGAGTTATGTATATCAAGAGGAGGCAACTCTAAGTACTGAAAAAATATGGCGTGCCGCAGGTGGTAAAACCAATAATCCTGCAAGGTTTGTAGGAGTTTGTTGTCCACCTACTTAGCAAACCAGCACTTCAGTTAACATCAAACTGGACAGTGTTCTAGAAAACAACACTTATTTTGCGGGTTAACAGAAGAAATTGATGTTAAGACACTGAAGCTTCCTAGGTTCCTAAATTTTTTCGGCTGGGTCTAAGTGAAATCATTTGCTGCTGTTCTTATTTTTGTCTCTTTTTCAAGTCATTGTTTCAATGCATATACTTACATACAATGTTGGCTCAAAAACATATGACTAGAAATGATTCCTAACTAAATTCAAGTATGTACATTAGGGCGGAATAATTTTATTTCGAAAAAAGTGTATGTAATACTCGAATTCTACGTTCGATTCTAAACAAAAATGCGAAAAATGACGTTTGATCCTCACAATTTTGTAAAGAAAAATCAGTGTATTATAATTGTTGTTTTTTAGAACGAAATTAATTTTTCATTTATGAAATTTTGTGTTTTCTTCATACATTATAATGCTTTTTCTTTTGATAATTGGGAGGGTCAAACGTCATTTTTGGTATATATAGTTTGGTCACCATTTTTGCTTAGAATTAATCGTAGAATTTTAATTAGCTATACATATTCTTCGAAAATTTTGCTCCGGACAAATTACTGCGCCCTAATGTGCATACATATAAACATGAAAGTACGAACTTTTGAGAATGTTAACGGCAAAGGAACACAAAAGCGTGGGAATACATACACACATTCACCTAGGCGTTCGACACCGCTCGAAATTACATTTGTTCACATATTTAACAAACACATAAAACTTTTATGATTTCTTGATTTTTCCATATCAATACTAATCCACCTTCCTGCCTATTGTAATGTTAAAAAAATGTTACTTGGAAAATTCAATATGCTGCATGCTTCTACTTTACTTTACTTATGTAACGAACCGAAGGTTTTTTTTTCAAACTCATTTCGTAAAACAGATGATCCGCTTAGAATTTTAAATGAACTCGATTTTTATGCGCACAATATGAATGCATGTGTGTGTGTGTGTGCATAACTGTGTCCTTTTTGTTTTACACGAAAGAGACTAACTAGCACAGTCTTAGTTGGTAATGGACAAACTCATCATCGAATGCTGAATACCAAGTGCTTAACGTCGACCAATGAATGATAAGGTCACTTAAAATGAAAAACGAACTGCTCCTGGCAATGGAGTGCTAGCGTGCAATCAACACTCATTTTTGAGTAACTAAATAGGCATACAAAAGCTAAGGTTGTCCGGTATAAACGAGAAAAAATGCCGTGAGGAATGCTGTACGACAATACCACAATAAGTAATTGTTGAGCGAGCACTGTCCTGGTCCTGAGAGCACGTAAGCAAACGCACGGATGAATTGACAAGTGGACGGATGGATATCGAAACGAAAACAAAAACACGACGTTTCAAATCAAAATTTAAAGTTAACTTTTTTCGCGCATGGTTTTGCAGCAGCGTATGTGTATCTATATGTTAGTATTAAGGAAAACCTGTTGTTTTAAATTTTCGAAAAAAAAGTGTAGTTACGTGCGTTCATTGTGGTGCTCCATGATGTGGATTGTAGAAGCAAAAGACTTTTAAGTCATTAGCTTCTTCAAGTCTACACAATAAAAATTTTAAATTTATCAACTTAGAACTGCGTGGTAGAGATAATAAGTGAAGTGGATTCGATATTCGCCCAAAAGCTAAATTTATATAAGCGCATGCCTCAATATTGTGGGCACATTTTGTATCTTTTGAAATCAAGCCTTTTAATCACTAAGATTATAACCAAAATGAGCCATTAATTTTAATACAAGTCCTTTTGAAAGAATTTTCATCATTTCGCTCCTGCAACAGCGTGTAGACCAGTGATGGAAAAGTAGGTACAATTGTACCTTTTTCAGCCTAAGCCTAAATAAGCACAAGCGGGCAAGAGTTAAGCTTCATTCGAGCCCTGACTGACAGTAGGCTGGCTCCTAAGTAAACAAAGTTATTTATGGTTTCGAAATAATGGATGTCTACAGTGCCATACCCTTGAAAAGTTCAAATGTAATAGTATTTAATGTAAAATAGATCAAACACACATTTTTAAATATCCATTGAATTACATAAATTATATAGTAGACCTCTCCGAAGCCAAACAACATTTTGGCGACATACGAAGACACCAAGCGAATGCGAGAACCTGGCCTGTATATAAAGGTTTTGGCGAAGAAATTTTTCAGAAGCATTGTCAAAAGCATGGGGTCAGGGGTTGATGAAAGAAAATTATTCTAAAACTTTGTTTGGCCTCGAAAAGTTCTTCCAGCAGTGGGGTCCTGACAATCGCTAAGCTAAATTTTCGTCGCCAAAATTCTCTAAATGAAAAGCAGTGGGGCCTAAAAGTACGCAACATGGAAAAGTAACAAATGCAATGTGTTAATCAGCCAAATCTGGTAAAGGTTTTTTTTTTGTTGGACCGGCTATTCTTTTGGAAAAAATTAACGGTAGTGAATTCCGGGATCCGGCTGCAGTTTACACAGATCTTGACATATTAGAGAACGTTATCCAAAAATCAGGCATGGCAGATTTTCACCATAATTTCGTACTGTTGGACAGATTTGACGTAATGTGAAAATGTACATACACATTTTTTAGGTACATTCGTCTGCTGTTAGGTACAATTTCTTCCTTCCTTTTTCCATCCCTGGTGTAGACCCTGCATAAGAATAGTCAGAGTTACTAGATATTTCTCCGTAGCCAAAACGACAATTTCGTTGACGTAGACTACCATGGCGCCGCTTCTTCTATTTCCTTCAAGAAGCTGAGAACAGCGATGTTCCATAGTAGAGGTGATGGCACGCTCTTCGTGTATGCATTAACTTCAATTCTTTTTTTGTAGAGGAGGTTACTATATGAATCGGTTAATTACCAACGGGAATAAGTCAAAATTGTTTTCTATATGACAATTTTGATGCAGTTCCATTCGTTTAAATGAGCTCTGCTGAACTGCGTCAAATTTGCCATATTGGAAAAATTCTGACTTGATGCATTTGGTAGTTAACCGATTCATATGCTGTTTAAATTCTTTTAATCTTAGAATATGAGACCCAATGTTTTCTTAAGGTCGACAGGTGATTTGTAGGGTAAGAGGCTGCAAATATCCGCTTTAATGCTGCCATCAGAAATAGTGCTGATGAGGCATTACCCGTCTGTGGCGATAATTTGGAAGTTATTCAATGCTCTGACGTTGGATTTTGCGGCGGAAGGTAAAGCTTCTCGGCGCTGCGGCTTGATGTTTTAGGAAGTTAACTAGACAGGATAAGAGTAGGGATAAAGAATACTCGGCAGCCTTATACATTTTTTGGAGGAACAATTGGAAAACTCTGGAACCCCCGGCCAAGGGCTGTTTGTTACGCAGACAGTTATACATACATATGTACGTATTAAGCGCCAGTTTTGCCGGCAGCGCTAGATCACTGCTTCAACTTTCCGCAACAAGTATTGTCATAAGAATTAAAGGTGTGTACCAAATTTGAGATAAATAAATCCGGACGGGACGGCAAATTACTAAATTTTACCCAAACAAGGGTTAAAACTGCGAACACGGTTCAGAAATTGTGGTTAAAAATGTCCAACAAAAATATGTGCCATTAAATTTTACGGAATTTTCAAATAATTTAAGTCGTCTTATGACCAAATTAAGCTGCCTTTACACGAGGCGATTTTTTTACAGGCGATAATCGCATGCAAAAGTTGAATTGCTGTCTACTTTGAGGCAAACGATTTTTGAATTACCATTTACACGAGCGATTTTCCTTGAGTAATGTGGAATCGCCGAAAAAAATCGCCTCATGTAAATCCAGCATTAGGGAAACCACATTCGCCATACCGCATTTGCGTCTTTTTTTTTGGCTGTCGCACAATGTTATCTTTAATTATTTAAGTTCTAAAAATAGCAACAACTTCCGAATTTATTGACCGTAATGCATATTGAAACATAATCTATTTCTTCCTAGTCACCGGATACATGCATACATATATATACACACATACATAAGTACATCGGTTATGCATGCACACATTTTACGCTTATGTATTACTCTCCTTGATAATGACTTCAATTAATTAAGATTTTATACCAAGTCGATTTTCGTACCGCCAACATTTTCTACTTATGGCAACTGATTGCACTAACTATAATTGACGATGGTTTGTAGCTGATAGTTGCAGGCAGTCTGTTACCAAAAACAAAAAACAAAAAAAAACACAAGTTTCTTTTACATTTGGTGGAAATTAGAAGATAATATTAATTTTGCTAGTAAAAACCGCAAATTGTGCAGCGCAATTAATTTTTGCACCAAATCAAGAAAACAGAAAAGAAACAAGAAGCTACGAAATTCGGCTGCGCTCAGTAATTACTTGCACCCTGCCATTAGTGCTTTGTACTGATGAGCCGCGCAACTAACTGCGAGAGTAGTCAGTAGTCTCCGACCGACCGACCGACCGGCCGACCGCCGCCACCAGGTGAGGTATTCAGCAAGCAGCTTTTTCATCACGAAATTCGAAAAGAAATCGGGGCAAACGGAAAGTGTGGAATTAAATAATTGAAAAAAAAGAAACTTTTTCTTCTATCGTTGATAGCGTTGACTTACTTGCAAAGTTTATCCAGTTCGTCCTTCTTGGCAGGGCCGATGGAAAACTCGGAGGTTAAATGTAGCATTTCCAGAGGCTCAGCACATTTTGTGAACTCCTCCTGGCCACACTCCTCACCACGAACGCTCGTCACCAGCTCGTTGCCGACGAATGCCACTGAAAAGATACCAAAAAAAAACGAAACAGAATGAACGAGAGTTACAGAAAATGTCGTCACATTAGAGATGACAATAATTGTGACCAGAAGTGGGGTGCGACGGAGTGCGAGACGGGGTTTACGGAGGGAAGGCGCACACGGAGCGTAGCATGTGGAAAATAGCATGAAACTTTGATACCAATTGGAAAACTTCAAGTTGCGACACACAACTTGCAGTTGCAATCAGTAGCAACATCGGCGCAGCACAGCGCACTCACCCCCGCCACCTTTTACGCCAGTTACTCGTAAGCTGCTAGCAATGCAACTTGCGTCTTACACAGAACAAACTCATCACACAACACACCGGGCGACAACGACATTCAATGTGGCTCAACAACAAAGTTGAGAATGTGCACCGAGAGTAATAAAATCCTCTGTACGTTAAATTGCTACCAAGCGCAGTAAACGACAATAACACTAACAACAAAGTGGCATAGATTCAGAGCAGCAGCAGGAGCGTATGTAGCTGTGGCGGTGACCACAACGTTTGGTGGTAGCGTTGGATTGCGTTTAGTAGGGTTAAGGGACAGTCGTTGGTGTTTGTGATATGCGTTGTTTCGGGGTAAAAGGCCACCAAGCGGTTAAATTGAAATATTGCACTTTTTATTGCAGTTCCTTTGGTCAATAACGCTGATAAATGGAGCTTGGGTAGATTCCAAATCGTATTTAGCGCATATGTTTGTTTGTGCTAGTGCGAGTATAAGGATGAATGAAAACTCCTCCTAAATGCATACATACATATGTATGTATGTACACACATATTTATTTGTGTAGGTATGTACGTATACAAACTTGAGCTATTAAGTATGCCTTAAATCCCATTCACATTGCTGCGTACATATTTTGTTTTGATCAGTTTGGACAAATGAGAGTTGTCCAAGACGTGCCGAATTTTGAGAATGCAAGTGACGTACTGTCTCCAAAGATACATGTGTGGATTACGCAGTGCGTGTGCATGCATATGTAGGGTATCCGCTGTTGTAATACAACAAACATACATAATTATGTATGTATATGAGTAAATGTCATTAGTTACATTTTTCGAAAAAAATACATGTTTTTGATCCAAAATGTTGGCATACTTATCCTACTCCATGCATTATCTTTTGTTTTGCATTAAGAACAAGATTGCATCGCGAAATTGTATTTAAATAAAATCTTTAAAAAGATATACTAAAAAAAATAAAAACATCTAAGTACTCATGCACATATACCCGCAGTCATCTAACACGTTTAGGGCGAGTAAACTTAACCCTCATCGGTCTCCTTAAAAATTTGTCGAATTTATTCTAATCAGATTTTTAAGAAAATTCTAAGTATGCCGTTATATTGCCTATTAAATTTTAGTATAACAAAGTGCAAGTTTCAAGTTGCTAGAAAATCGCTTTGAGTTTTAGCAATTTTTTTAAGTGGAAGGTGTTGCCAAAAATCAATGCGATTTACTAGCAAATTAAGGCTAGCCGAATTCTCCATAAGCCGTACATAAATCACTTTTCGATAGATCTGGTACTTTCTGAGAAATTAATTAATAATATAGATTTTTTTTTTTTTTTTGATAAAAAATTAAATATAGTCAAACTTCAACTGGAGAAAAATTTTAAAATAACAGATTCTGTGTACATTTTTTGCGTTTGTGTTAAAGCCTGTTCTGTTAAAAAAAATCAAATTGCTAATGAAGAAAATCGATGGTTAAATAAAGAAGTAATGGGTGGTCAAATGAAAATGCGCAAATTTTTTTTTTGTATGAAATATGTGCAGAAAAGAGTGTTACTCAGGTGTACATGGCGTATGAGTGACATTCTTTCCTGCTAATTTTTCATACAAAAACTCTTTGGGTATTTCTTCTTTCTTCTTCTACTTTCTTCGATTTGCTTCATTAGTAACTTGATTTTTTTTTGTATCAGAACAGGCCTTAACACAAATGGAAAAAATTGGCACAGAATCTGTTTTTTTTATTCTTCTGTTCATGTTTGATTTTTTTAATTCTTTTCATAAAAAAATAAAAAAAAAACTAGAATGATTAACTAATTTCTCAAAAACAATCAGTTCGGAAATCGGAAAGCGGTGTATATACGGTATATGGAGAATTTTGTTAGCTTTCATTTGCCATATTTAATATTAAGAGTGTTAAATTGGTTCATATATCTTATACGTGATTAAGTGGAACCAATTTTTGACTTAAACTGAAGAACGGTAAATTGAAAATATCTCGAAAACTTATCCAGAGAATAAAAAATTAACTCGACTTCCAAAATCAGTTGCCGATTCTACATGACAAATGCATAGGGGAACAGAAATAAAACACAAACTTTTGACCCAGTGTAATCAAGTACAATAATGTAAGATTATAAAAGTGAGTAAATTTTCCCTATATAAAAACCACTTTTACATACACTAAACATAAAAACAACAAGACGCGCGGTACAGCCACATTAAGTTAAAGATATTAACTATAGATTCTGTTAAATAGTTTCATGTTTTTATAAAGCAGGCAACATGATCATTTAGTGTGGGCAGCTGCTGCAGCTCGCCAGACATAACAATAGTCGGCGCTGGTCTGATAAACAACGTATCATGGCGACCTATGCTGACTTTGGCATCAGACCATCTACCCATAGTCATCTCGATTGATAAACCAACCGACTTTCCTTCTGCGCAACACCGGAGCTATATCAACTTTTCTAAAGCTGATTGGAAAGGCTTGACGAGACGGAGCTTCATCTGCAGCAGGTTAAACTCATACCTGAGCAGACTAAACGCAGATGTACCTAATGAGTGTCTGGCATGCGGAGAGACACCCCATGACTCGAAACATCTCATCGTATGCCCGGAAAACCCGACAACCGACCCGAACGCCTTTGTCCCTATGGACCGACCCTATTGAGGCTGTACGCTTCTTAGGACTGCCGTTAGTGGAACTTGACGACAACGACTGAGATATCCACCGATCTGAACAAAAAATTACGAAAAGACACGTAATTTTAAGACTCAGAAATTACTCGGAGGTATTCAGTTATAAGATTTTCTTTGCTTACCATAAAACTGTCACCTTTTCCCTTCAAAATGCCGCCTCAAGTAGATATACATATTCTTAAAAAAGAAACATTTTACTGCTAAATTTCTTAAAGCTTAAAAATTGCGATTTTTTTTAGTTTTAATTCGAGCAGGCGGAAACAAGAGTTTGTAAAAATTATATTTTGCATAAATTCTGTTCTTTGGATACTCTAACAGCAGAATCGAAAGTGGGTCGGCTACGATTTTTTTTTCCAGACGATTTCATATGGAATGACTCCTATGTATCAATAACATTTTTAATTAAAATGTTTACATTAGAAATAAAATTTTTTTATTTATGCATAAAAAATGTATTTAAAAATATGTATGTAAGTATGTAGTATCCGAAAATCCCCATTTCGACATGAGCTCAAAGGATCATATAGAACCATTATTAGGAAACATTTTTCCGGGAACATATGTTAACAATGATAACGCCCGAAGATAGGTCCCTTCTAGCATTCGGAGAAGAATTCAGTGATTGAATTAGGAGTGTTAACACTTTGGCAACGGTGAATACCGTAAACGATAAAATGTATGAACTTTATAACGGCATAGACATGGACGCTCCCGTTGGGGATATCACTTAATTGATTGAAGCACTTGATTTTCCTTGACATTAGAGGCAGATAAACCCCAAAAGTGGTTCTGGGGGGGAAAAATTTAACGTAGAAGGCTTTGCGTATTATGCACGGCATGTATGTATATATTAATTAATTAATTAATTAATCTAGCCCTTGCCATGATTTTCTGCTTCTTTAAAAGATTTTGAAAATTTCGCTACCACGCTGCCCTCACTGGCCTTTTGTATTGAATCAAAATAAAGTTATACCGTAGTACTTCTTAAGATAAAAGAAAGCTCACATAAAGTAACGAAAATTTCTTAAGTACAATAGCTTAGTAGCTAAGAAACATAGAGCAAAGAACTCCCAGTCTCTAACTTTGATGCTGGCCCTTCACATATTTACCCAAGCATAGGTATACATACTTATGTGCAGACAAGTTGGCCATTTCGAGCCAATTTGATTTGATATGAACAAATGGACAGACTTTCATGTGTTTCAATATACCCATTCACTTTGTTAGGGTGGGTCAAATTATTTTAAATTTTTCAAGCTCATTCCGCTGACTGAAGATATTGTCGCAGAGAAACGGGATTTCTTTTCTAGAATAAGGGATAGCTTACGTATCACACATTTTGTGTTTTTCGACCCGCCCTAATGTGCATGCATACATATGTATGTGGCAGGCGCATACAAACGACTATGAACCATACAATATTTTATTTGCTTAACATTCGAGCCGCAGCTGCAATTCTTGTCATTGTCTTTCCCATTTAACTTTTACTCTTTTTTTTTAATTCATTTTGGTTGCTTTTCATTTTCTTCATATTCTTCTTTTCTGGTTGCAACTCTCTCTCACTCTCTTTCCCCGTTTGTTGTTACGAGTATATTTTAGTTTTTACTAGTTAAAAAAGTTCACCGCTACTGGAAAAAAGGCTCGCTATAAATCAACAAATGTTGGCATTGCATTTCAAGAAAAAAGTTAAAAATCGAAACAGTGAGCATACAAAAATCGAACAACACAACATCCTTGGCGGCGCTTGCCTTTATATCCTGGCACGCGTACGAGTAACTGTGCGTTGCTGGCGAGTTTAAAGTGTACATATATGGGAAGCTCGATTGCGTCTTTCTGCGTATGGGCATACGGTACGTAAATAAATTTAAAAAAAAACATACATATATATGTACAAATACATAAACTAAAGCATCCGCATTTTTCGGCAATCAGATTTTTCTGAAAAAAGTCGAAAGTCTTTCGATCGTACTTAACGAATTCGTTACCACTCCCCACACCGAAGCATCCGAGTTTTACGACAATCAGATCTTTTGAAAAAGACTCGAAA